TAGATTTTCGTGGGCCCTAAAAGCTTCATTTTTTTTCTGACGTGAGAAAAAAATTACAACATTTTCTTCGACCCTAAAAGTTCATTTTTTTTCTTCTGATGTTAAAAGAAATTAAAACATTTTTCATGGGCCGCTAAAAGTATCGTGGGCCCTAGGCACTGTGCCTACTGTGCCTAATGGATAAGTCGGCTCTGCGTCCCCCGGTCACAAAACTTCCTAAAAACTCCTGGCCCCTATTTATTCCTTCCTCTTCCATTCTATTTATTGGGGGGAACTTTGACTTTGACTCTGTGTTTCTCCAGCATTAGCAGAGCATCAGATGAGCTTCTCCGTGGCATCCAGACTTCTATTTTGCAGCACTGGGGAACTCTGCCAGCGACTCCCGGTGTTATCACTATGTACATTATCTTTGCCATGCAACTGGCTCACTTTGCCATTTGAAACATTCTACATTTCACCCTCAGTTCACTTGCATGTCTGTAACTGAGTCCCCTCACTAGACTCCCCTAGAGAGAAAAGCAAAGAAAATCCATTACATTTCAAGACATCAGGCCCCTGTCTGACCTTTCCCTGGTTGGCTCAGACAGCTTCTCCTGGCCCCGTCCACAGATCCTTGACTATAGTCTACACTTCTTTTTATTTCAACAGAACAAGTTATGTATCATATACAAAATTTAAAAGTACCTTAAATTTATATTTAAATTAAAAATTATTTTATGAGTAAATAATTTTACACATCAAATCATTGTATTATATTAAAACAAGACCTGAAAAATATTATAAAATATACCTAAAACATAATCTATTATGTTAGATTTCAAGACTTTCCAATAGAAGTACATTTTCTTTGTTGGCCCTGAAAGCTATCAGTTTTCGTTGTGTGGCCCTCAATGGGCTTCAAGTTTGACATGGAACATACTACTGATTTTGAGAGAATACCATTGTCCCCCTCAATAAATAACATGAAACGAACGGGAAACTCCTCTGCACCACCATGTAATATTTTTATTTCAAAATGTCACCGTGGGTTTGTTTGTTTTTCTAAACCAAGACTAAAATGGGCTTTGTCGTCTAGAACATCAGTTTGGATGCCTCCAGTGACTATGATTAGGAAGCTGAAGCAACAATGGAAACTATGTCTTTACCTTTCAACATCATGGAGTATAACTTGCTCATCATTGCCTATAAAGAGAAATACAAAAACATGTAAAAAAATTCACATATTGGTAATTAAAACTTCATAATGAAAAAAAAAAGTTTTTGCAATTTTTATTTTGAAAACAAAAGCACCGTGAGGAGAGGACCAACCTGGTTGTCAAGTGTCAACACCCTACACATCTACACAGAGGCTCTGAGTCAATTTCTGGTTGTTAACTATAGACACCACCACCTCACAGGAGTGAAAAGTGATATCAAGGCAATATATTTTAAATTGGGCATAGCTGACATTGCTCAGACACTTCAGTTAATTAAGGAGTGTTGCTGATAATGCTCTGACCAGTCTCAGTCAAAATTTCAGTGCATGCATGGATGGAGAATAAGGATGTTAAATAACAGTTAATTTACTAGTAGAGTAGTCGATGGAATTTCGCCCTTCGCTACGCCTCTGCTGAGAAAGTTCTGCAAATGGCTTCCCTGTTGCAGTGGTATTTTCAGGGTTAACTGGCTGGCGGTATATGCGAGATATACCCCACCGTCCTGTTAACAGATTTGTGGGCATGGAAATGGTGACACCATTGCAAAAAAAGCAAACATGATTCTGGGATACATTAACCGGAAGGTTGTGAGCAAGACATGAGAAGTCATTTTTCTAGGCCTCAGTTGGAGTACTGTATCCAGTTCTGGGCACCGCATTTCAAGAAAGATGTGGAGAAATTGGAGAAGGTCTAGAGAAGAGCAACAAGAATGATTGAAGGTCTAGAAAATATGAGCTATGAGGGAAGATTGAAAGAGTTGGGCTTGTTTAGTTTAGAAAAGAGAAGACTAAGAGGTGACTTTATAGTGGTTTTCAAGTATCTAAAAGGGTATTATAAGGAGGAGGGAGAAAAATTGTTCTCCTGGGCCTCTGAGGATAGGACAGGAAGCAATGGACTTAAATTGAACAAAGGGTGGTTTAGGCTAGACATTAGGGAAAACTTCCTGCCCGTCAGGGTAATTAAACATTGGAATAAATTGCATAGGGGAGTTGTGGAATCTCCTTCACTGGAGATAGTTAAGAACAGGTTAGACAGATACCTGTCAGAGATAATATAGATAGTGCTTTGTCCTGCCGTAAGAGCAGGGGACTGGACTCAATGACCTCTTGAGGTCTCTTCTAGTTCTAGTGTTCTATGATTCTATGGAGACAAGTGGCCTATCTGGAGATAAGGGATATGGATGTGGCTGCCTAGGGAAGAGAGGATCTAGTGTGGGCTGAGTACCCATGGGAGAGGAACCCTACAAGCAGTCACGCCCTGGGAAAAAGCTTGTGCTGAATTTTCTTTTCTTTTTTATAGAACCCAAACAGTAGGAAATGAATGAGGCTTGGCTTAGAATGGGGAACATGAGACTTGGCACACTAAGTTTGCTTTAGAGCATGGTGTCTGATGTTATGCAGGAGATTAGACTCAATGGGTGCGTCTAGACTGGCAAGATTTTGCGCAAAAGCGATTGCTTTTGTGCAAAAACTTGCCAGCTGTCTACACTGGCCACTTGAATTTGCGCAAGAGCACTGACTTTGTAATGTACAAAATCAGTGCTTCCTGCGCAAATACTTTCACGCTCCCGCTTGGGGAAAAAGCCCTCTTGAGCAAGAATACTTGTGCAAGAGGGCCAGTGTAGACAGGGAAGAATTGTTTTGCGCAAAAAAGCCCCGATGGCTAAAATGGTGATCGGGGCTTTCTTGTGCAAAATCGTGTCTAGACTGGGCACGGATGCTTTTGTGCAAAAGCACTTTTTGTGCAAAAGCATCCGTGCCAATCTAGACACGCTTTTGTGGAAATACTTTTAACGGAAAAACTTTTCCTTTAATAGTATTTCCACAAAATCATGCCAGTCTAGATGCAGCCAATGTGATCAGAATGGGCCCTTCAGTGGAATGAAGGCATTGCTCGGCTGCCAGTGAAGTGAAGGGGTTTTTGCCATTGGTGATCTCAAATGTGGCAACAGGTCTTCTCTGATAAACTTAGGCTAATTCAGAACAGGTTATAAAAGCACCAAAGCTGGTGAACTGAAGGCTGAGCATTTCACACAGCCCTTTAAACAATGCCAAAGGACGGTGTTTACATTCCAGTGATTCCCTCCTTCCATTTCCACCCAATCTGACCTCTCACTTCCAGTCCTCACGCAGCCTATCTATGCAGCCAATCCTCCCTTTTTTAAGTCTTTCCACCTCCCCTCCGCTGTCTGCCAATATGCTTCTTGCAGCATCAGACTTGCTGGAATACAGCCAGTCTGCAGCGCGTCTGTCTAAAGCAACACTGCTCCCCTTGGGACAGGGTATTTCAGCGTTCCCCAGGCAGAGGAGAACAAAAAGGGTGGGTAAAGAAAGCCAAATGGCAAATTAAATTTAATGTGGATAAGTGTAAAGTAATGCACATCGGGAAAAATAACCCCAACTATACGTACAGTATGATGGGGGCTAATTTGGCTACAACAAATCAGGAAAGAGATCTTGGAGTTATCGTGGACAGTTCTCTGAAAACTTCCACGCAGTGTGCAGCGGCGGTCAAAAAGGCAAATAGGATGCTAGGAATTATTAGGAAAGGGATAGAAAATAAGACCCAGAATATTTCACTGCACCTGTATAAAACTATCGGACCCCCCACATCTTGAGTACTGTGTACAGATGTGGTCTCCTCACCTCAAAAAAGATATTTTGGCCTTGGAAAGGGTTCAGAAAAGGGCAACTAAAATGCTTAGGGGTTTGGAACGGGTCCCATATGAGGAGAGGTTAAAATGACTGGGACTTTTCAGGTTAGAAAAGAGGAGACTGAGGGGGGATATGATAGAGGTCTATAAAATCATGAGTGGTGTGGAGAGGGCCGATAAAGAAAAGTTATTTATTAGTTCCCTAAATGGAAGAACTAGAGGACACCAAATGAAGTTAATGGGTACAGGTTTAAAACTAATAAAAGAAAGTTCTTCTTCACACAGCGTGTAGTCAACCTGTGGAACTCCTTGCCAGAGGAGGCTATGAAGGCTAGGACTATAATAGAGTTTAAAGCGAAGCTAGATAATTTCATGGAGGTTAGGTCCATAAAAGGCTATTAGCCAGGGGATAAAATGGTGTCCTTGGCCTCTGTTTGTCAGAGGCTGGAGAGAGATGGCAGGAGACAAATCGCTTGATCATTGTCTTCGGTCTACCCTCTCTGGGGCACCTGGTACTGGCCACTGTCGGCAGACAGGATACTGGGCTAGAAGGACCTTTGGTCTGACCCAGTATGGCCGTTCTTATGTTCATTCGCCGCTCAGAAACCACTCGATATTGTTAGACAAGATCTTAAAGCTCCAGTGAAGCCCTAGATCCTTAAAATTTCCCATGTTCTGCAGGATGGGGAGAGTCATTATACAGAAAATCAATGTTATAAAACCCTAGTAAGGAAACCTCCCCAAAGGCAGGTGAAATTTTAAGGCAGAAGGATGTAGCTAAATCCAGCATGGGTGGAGCCCTGCATGGATACAAAGTTTGTATCCGAATCTATGAATGCAGATACCCTTGGATATAAAGAAGATGTGGATGTGCAGGGCTCTAAGTATGGGGTGAGCCCGTTCCTTGGACTCAGAGTTTTCCCTGGCTTGAGTGCTTATGAAATGCTAGCTCTGGTCTAGGACGTATGTGTGCGCTTTGCAGAATCGGATTTTATTAATTTATATATTTATTTATTTTTGCAATTGTGATGGATACGATCAATGTTTAAGCTTTTTTATAATTTTTATCCATTTACATTTTCAGTCATGGCAAATCATGGGGAGACGGAATGAACATGATTCTTAAATGACAGGAGGTATTGAGATTCAAGCAATCAAGGCTTTCCCCGTGCAAAGTGTCAACATCCCATGTCAAAGGAGACAAAGTAAATACCCTTAAAAATCAAACTAATTTTTCAAGCAGCATTCGCTCTTTTTACTTTGTGTCTCTGTACATTTCCATGATTGTCGATGGAAATGCTGTTGCATCGGTTTGTATGTACACAGTGAAACTGGCCAAGATAAACGAATCCGTCTAAGCCCGTTTATGTGATGTTACTTTCCAACCCAGGGAACCACACCAAATCCTATGCAACTAGGATGAAATCCTGCTAGTACAGGAAAGAGCTAAGGTAGAAGAATGCAGGCTACACAGCTCAGGGTAAAAAAGGCTTACTGTGGGCATCCATACCCTACTGTGCGGCACGTTTGCTCACTAGGGTTACCCAGATAAGCAGCCCCTCAGGGGACACACTCATAGTCCAGCAAGGGGGGTGACAGCCACACCAGGCCTCAGGGAAAAGTGTGTGTGTTGGGGGACAGCTCCATGTTCATGGAAAGGGCAGGACTTTGGGTGAAAGGGGCAGGTCCAGTGTCAGCCGGCCCCCAGCGCTGCCAAGAGCACACCACTCCAGCTCTCCTCCTAGTCCTTACAGTCATCCCGAGTGTGGCGCACAGCACTCTAGTGACGATTTAAAAGACCTGAGGCGGCCAAGAGCCGTAGGCCCTTGAGAATCACTTGGGGCTCCCAATAGGCAGGCCTGCAGTCCAGCATGCTAACCTAGTGAGGCGGTCAGAATCCTGGCTAACCCGCTTCCCACTCGAGACCAGAGCAGGAGAACAGGGCAGGATTTGGCCGGCCGGCTGCGATACTGAAGAAAACCATTATCTGAAGGCCTCCCTGACAAACCTACTGGAGCAGGCATTGTGTATCTGAGGAATGCTGCGGGGGAATCCAGTAAGAGGGTGAAAGAAGTAAAGATTGGCGGGAGAGGGAAAGGGGGGAATTCTACTGTCTGCACACTGGGGCCAGGGGCTGTGAGGAAGAATCCCCTCCGGCCCCATGAATTCAGAGTGGCCTTCTCTTGTTTCACAAAATTGGTTTATCTGTGGCACTGCATCACACTGTTTTGCTGAGCCTTTCATTGAGAGGCCTAGTGGATAATGCACTAGACTGGGACTCAGAAGACCTGGGTCCTTTTCCTGGCTCAGCCATGAGCCTTCTGAATGACCTTGAGTGAGTCACTTCCTCCTCCCGTGCCTCAGTTTCCCTGTTTGTAGGATGGGGACTCTTTCCTTTGAAAGTGCTAGATATTGTTAGAGCTAGCGATGCCACCATTCCTATAGCTATGTTGCTATTGTGTGGGCAGCCATTCCGCACACATCCAGGCATTAATGTTCACAAACGGCTAAAGAAAAGGAGCCTGAAAATGGTTAGCTAAACACACAGGCACTCTAGTTACATGTGATGGGAAATCTATGACCCAATCATACTTTACACACGCCATCATGTTCATTGTTAGGTATCAAAACTGCTTTATGTTGTCACCAAGCTGCATTTTGTAGATGGGGAGACTGAGGCACAGAGCAGGCCTGTGACTCATCCAAGAGGAGCCAATGAGACAAAGACAAGTGCAAGATTGAAACCTATGCCCCAACACCCAGTCCTGTGCACCACCTGCTGGCCCAAAGATAAACACTCTCGTGTGGAATCATATGAATGACTTTGGCATTGATACTACTTGGATGATTTAAGGCTCCGTTCATCTCGAATTTGAACACATAAATCGAAACATCGGCTCAAGCACTTTAAAAACGTTACTCAGTCATGCCTTATTTTTATGAGCTAGTAATGCCAGTCAAAAGCCCTGAGGCTTTACTGGCACAGGAGTTTTCCTGATTCTGGCTGCCGGAGCCTGTGAGACCTTTGTACTGCATGCCACTGGGTTTGCTCTGTTATGCCTATTGGCTTTACATTACAGGTAGGAGCTTTTGTGTGCAGGGACTTGTGGCGATGACATGTCTGAAATTCAGCAGTTGTACAATAAAACCCCAGACGGTCTGGGAACTGCCCCCTCTGCCTTGCACAAACATTGCAGTGAGACAGTAATGGGACTTTGGGGAGATACCCCTTGGTCATGAACATGGGGGTAACCCTCAG